TGACTAAATATATCAACATAATCAAAAAATAAATTACATGAAAATGCCAATTGTAAATGACATGTACTATCTGGTTCCTTTTATATCATCTTTTAAAATGGAAAAAATGCAGTCGTTTATAAAATGATAACACTAATTATAGTAAAAATTGCAGGGGAATAATGTATATGAAGTTAGTATGGAAGGAAAAGAATCAATATATGCAAATTTATGATGAGGAGGGCTTTACACGTTCCTGTATTTCTTGCAATAAAAGCATCTACAATGAGGATGGTGATGTGTGTGCATTTAATATGGTTGACTGGTATGGACCTAACACTTCACTGTTATCTCTTAATTTCATTGCTTTTTAATAATTTATAACTTAAAAACACATATAGGTTTATTTTTATCACAGATTATTACCTGAGAAGTTTCAATATATACATTTTTAATATACTCATGTTGTAGACTTTTGTCATACAAAATTTTTTCTCTTGTAGGTTTTCATTATTTGTATTGGTTCAATACCTATTTTATTATTTAATTCATTTTAATTGCTATATATTTCATTATATGTTCATGCCAAATGAATATTGATATCATTAATGTTTATTTTATTCCTTTACTAAAACAATGATGATTACCAGCTGTCATTTTAGTTCATAAACTCATACTTGAAATCTGCAGTTTTCACACTAGAGATATTCTTTCTATTGTCTTCCCTCAACTTGCCCACCCATTGCTTCCTTCTGAGGAATAAAATATGCTAGATGCCATATGTTCATGGATTGAAAAGACCACACACATACAATAAGAAGTGTCAGTACAAAAGTCCCATAGGCTGAGTGCTGTGCTGGCTGCTGCTCTTCTATTCATTACTCATCATGCCAACAGCTCCATAAGACTTATGAGATGTCCCACTATACGCACGAAGACACCAAAGCTTCACATACAGTTGAATGACTTCTTTATTCAAAAGCAAGCTCTGGTTTGGATTAAATATAAAATATTTGAGTGTAAGTAATACACCAAATAATGAAGGCTGTCATGACCACTTCTGTCTTCCACAGAGAAGGGGGGACCACTGCCTTACAGAGGCAATTCTATTGGGACATTTGATTGTCTTATAAGTCCCTTATAAATCCACATTACCTTGTAAGTAATTTGGTCCCTGTCTTCAGGGACCAAAATTGTTGCTATTTTTGTCTGTTTTCTTAAGAGCCTATACATTTCATTCTTTCTCTCATTTGGCTGTTTTTATTTTTTAAATATTAAGCCATGGGGACTTACTGATTAATGGATATAGTTTCTGTTTCAGATAATAAAAAAATTCTGAGAAGGATTAAAGGTAACGGTTGCACAACTCGAATATAGTTAGTGTCACTGAATTGCACAGCTAAAAATTGTTAAAATAGTCAATTTTATGGTATGTATATTTTACCACAATAAAAAATAAATAACTATATTAAAAAAATAATATGCCACTTGTCACCTAAGGGGAAGAAATGCATTAGGTTGAGATAGAAAATGTAGTCAATATGATTGTCCAGCTTCTCTTAGAATGAATCCATCATGTATATGCGTAGTGTATCCATGGGGGAATCTTATGAACTTCAAACTTATAGGTAACATTTTAAAGACTATGCTCAGATGCAGAGCATATACTTGAACCGATGCATGCTACTTCATGGGTAGTGATCTGTCTTTCAGGGGAGGGGAAAAATTGAGGCATTCTTCAAGATGAATACCTTAAAATTTTAAAAGTAAATTGTGAAATCTGAGTGATGAGTTAAGAATGCTAATTCTATACTATCCTGAGGCTCTAAAGGTGATTGGTCATGAGACTTCTCAGTAATCAGATGATCTGAACTCAGATCTTCTCTTTCTCATGCACTGTGTACTTCTTGTCCACAACATAACCTCACTTTTCCTAAGTTTCCCTATAAATAAATGAAGTGATTGTATGGTCTAACTCTTCAGGAATTTGAGAAGCCCTTCAGATGATTCTGGGCATGCCAAACTTTGGGGACCATATTCTACAAGAGAGATCAAATAACTTTATTCTCATCTTTTTGTTTGTTTGAAGGCAGGAATATTTCTGAAGAAAATGTCACGCCTTGTTCTTTGTTTCAGTCTCAGCACTTGTGCAAGGTGGGAAACAGAACTGGTGATTAATAAATATGTGGGCCAATAAGGGATTAGAGGAAACAGAAAGAGTGGGAGATGATGATGGCAGGAAAAAGTAGCAGAGGGAAAGATTTGAATATTTCCTTGGATTCACGATATATAGAGAGGTTTTTGTTTGTTTGTTTGTTTCTATTTAAACACTGGTTCTCAAACTTGAGCATGTATAAAATTCATCTGGAGGGCTTGATAAAACATAGGCTGCTGGTCATCACCCTCACAATTTATCAGCAGTAAGTCTGAAGAGGTATCAAGAATTTACTTTTCCATCAAGTTCCTTTTTGATGCTGCTGCTACCCCTGGGACCATTCATTGTATTTTATTTTCACTTCATCTTTTCCATCAGATTTATCAACGACATGGAACCTAGAAACCTAATAGATGTTTCAGAATTCCTACTCCTGGAATTGACAGATGATCTAGAACTACAGCCCCACCTATTCTACCTGTTCCTGACCATGTACCTGGCCACCGTTCTGAGAAGCCTGCTCATCATCCTGGCCATCAGCTCTGACTCCCACCTGCACACCCCTATGTATTTCTTCCCCCACAATCTGTCCTTTATTGGCATCTGTTTAAGCACTGTGTTGCTGCAGGGTCGAAGTACCGAGGTAAGGGATATGAGGCTCAGGCAATTGGAAAAAGTGTGGGGAGCTGTAGGCAACTGCAACATAACTCTTTATTCTAGCAAGGTTGACATAGCTCTTTATTCCAGAAGGGGCACAGCCAGCCTCACAGGGTGGCATCTTTATATACACAGGTTAACAATAGTGGCACAATGCCAAGTTATAGGAGCCTGCACATGTGTAGTGGGCACATGGTTACATAAGGGGAGAAGTGCTGACTCACCTCCACTCAGAAGCTGCTAAGGATGTCAGCTGGGAGCCTGACAGCAGCCATCTTTCTTTCTCCTCACAAGCACAATCACCTTCCCAGAGGTGCTGGTAAACATACAAGCACAGGATCAGAGCACCACTTTTATAGGTTGCCTCACTCAGATTGGCCTTGTTGTGGTTTTGAGTGGATTTGAGAATTTTCTCCTTGCAGCGATGGCTTCTGACTGCTATATGGCCATTTGTCACCCCTTGAGGTATATGGTTATCATGAACCCTCATCTCTGTGTTCTGCTGGCTATACTCTCACTGTTCCTTAGTTCTGTGGTTGCCCTGCTCCACAGTCTGATGGTGCTGCGCTGTCCTTCTGCAAGACTGTGGTCATATTTAGAGACTAACTTCCACCTGATCCCATGGTAGAGTCGTGTCAATTTCTCCCTGACATTAGGTCTATAGTGAAGTAAGGGAGCTGAGCTTTTATACACCTATTTAGTCATTAATGTGATTGTTCACTGGTAAATCATATTCTTTTGAGAAACATTAGCAGCTACCATACTCAGTTTTATTACCTATGAAATTTGCATATTTGAGAAGATTGTGAGATATATGAACTTCATCAGCGAGGAAGACTTCAGTTCTAATAAGAGAAGAATCTCTGACTCTAATGAGCCCAAACAATAAAGAGAATTAGCTTTCATGACAAAGACTTTAGGGATAAGAAATGCATAGGAACAGGGGGTTAGAAATTTATTTAATCCTCCATGTGTTATCTTGTCCTAGGACCCGTTCTCTCCAGAGTTATCAGGTGGTGGTGTCAGATGGAGATGTCATAATAGGACATGATTCCCAGGGAAGAACTCCGACTGTCTTTCTTGGGGTCAGATGATTATGGATTTTCCATGGAGTCACCAGAAGATATCTCGGTAGTGGGTAAATAGTGGCCCTCAAAATGATATGCCCATATTCTATTTCTCCTAATTTATTAACATTGTATGATAAATGGGTGAATGTTACTTAGTTAGAATTTGGTTGCTTGTAGAGGATGACCTTAACCCATTTTATAAAGGTAGACCCTAAATATAATCAAGTGTATCTTTATAAGGTAGACTGAAGAAAATGACACAGAGAAATGGAGGAAGTAAGGTAACCATGGCAACAGAAATTGAATTGATACAGCCAGTATTTGATTTCCAATATTTGATCAATTTTTCCACCTGTTTTGAGATATATTTGTATATAACACATAAAATTAAGGTGTAATAATGTGTTAGTCTGACACATTTGTATATGAGAAAATGATGACCATCACAGAATTAGCAAAAATCTCCAATTTGTCACATAATCACCATTTCTTTTTGTGGTAAGAACATTTAAGATCTACTCTGTTACTAATATTTAAGTATATAATACAGCATTATTAGCTATACTCATAATGCTGTACATTATATCTTCAGAACTTAATCTTATAACTAGAAGTTTGTGCCCTTTAACCAACATTTCCCCATTTCTCTTGCCTCTCGTGCCCTGGTAATCAACACTCTACTCTCTAGTTCAATGAGTCTGGCTTTTTAAGATTCCACATATAAATGATATTATATAGCCTGAGTTATTTCAGTTAGCATGATACCTTCAAGTTTTATCCAAGTTGTTACAAATAGCAGGATCTTCTTTCTTATCG